ATTGTGGTGGCAGAAGAGGGCTGGGCATAGCCAAAGTAGATAGGGATATTGGCTCACACACACTGACATACACTTACGCATAGCCAGGCACTAATACCGAAGCCCAGGATCACTTTAGTGGACCGAAATTGTGTCATCTTTTGGTTTTGCGCACACAAATTTCGGTTTCCGCTCCACTCGTGTCAGCCCCTATCTCCGTCTCTTTGCCCCCTGCTCCTGTTGTCCTGCCTGTCCTGTCCGGTTCAACTAGGCCTAAACAATTTGTGGCTAATTACACGGCCTGGCCATCAATTACGACCAGATACAGATACAGAGTGCAGCAACAATGCCACTTGTTATTCCTGGCCAGGCAGTTGGCCAAAACAGGAATACATGGCCGAAACTTTTTTTATAATTAAAAATAAAGGGTGAATGGAAAAAGTTATTTTCTGTGTGCATACACAGGGCCTTGTAGTGCCTTGGCCACTTTAATTGCAGTTGAATTGCGAAAAAGTTGCACACACTTTTCATTCCCCGACTGCAGGTACAAATTATTTTATCTCCCCTTTCTTGCGAAAGACGAGAGTTGACTTTTATTCCTTAACGGATTTGAGTAGGCCACCGGCAAAAATTTATGTCTGCAATTAAGTCAACCTCATTCAGGCTTTCTTCCATCTCAGTTGGCACTCGAGTCGAGTGCAGTGGGGAACTTTAATCAGTCTGACAGTCTGGAAGAAACTTTTTTAAAAGACATACAAATATTAGAAAGAAAGTGAAGGAAAAAATGTTAAAATATTGGTAAGGTATATATCCTTTCTTGGCTCCTTGGCCCATTTCCTAATTAAAAAAAATACTCTTTATTTTGCACTAAAAAAGATTGCTCATACGCCACGTATGACACTGAAAATTTTAATCAAACCTTATCGACACGACTCCAGTCCCCTCGGGAACTGAAGGTACCTTTTAATGTCTGTCCTTTTGTGGCTTGTAATAAAATCAGCACGAAATTGCCAAATTATTTAGATTTGGCATCAAAAGCGCCGGTACCTGCGTCCATATTGTCAGATGAGCAATAAAAACTGGCTTTTATGACCCATATGACAGACGCTCTTCGGGCTTGCCATAGATATTTGCATAACTCGAGGTATGACGGGGCGGAAACCTGGTAAACCTGGTTTTATAAATTGCTTTTTTATTGAAATAAACAAAAGCCTGGAGACAGCTTTAAGCTGAGGTGCGCACCTTTAATTCTGCAGAAGAAACTTCACAGAAACAGAGATTACAAGCAGACTTTCCACATATGGCTTTCTTTATCCGCATCAGAAAACACATCTAAGCCGAAATAAATTTCCCAGCAACTGAATTATTTTGTTGCGCCATTTTGAGGCGACGCCAAAGAAGTTTGCCGCATTCGGTGCTGCCTGTTGATAAATAAATATGACAACAAAATGTTCGCACAAGATAAATGACAACCAGCAGAGGTGGCGCGAGGGGTACACTGCGTTTCGAGTAGGGAAGGTTAGGTCTTTATAACTTCTTGATTTTTTCGATCGAACTTATAGTTACCTCCCTTACTGTAGTTGTAACTTGGAAGCCATGAAGGCAAAACACTCGAAATCGCATTCTAAACTTGGCATATTTGCATAAAGAACCAACTGCACTTTGCTCCCTGACACCAAAACATAAACAACAAGCTCGGCAGCGGTGGGAGGATAAAAAAAATCCCGCCAGAGTGTGTATGCCATGTAAGTGCAATCCATGTTTAATATTTCAAATTCCGCATTCAGGTATACATACATGAACTGAACACAATTATAATGCAGCCCTGAAACGAGGTGTCTAAGTACTGCAATTGTTTTAAAAGAAAAGATGAGGACTTTGATACCCAGGATTATAAATTGTTAAAGTTAAAGTTAAACTTTAAAGTTTAAATATTTGTAGGAGGTTTGAATTAAAGAGACCATGACTGACAGTCAGTGAGATACATCGGACAATGCAATACCATTGCAGCACCAGAAATCGAATATGCCTGCTGTTTGTGACTAGTTTGACCCACCAGGGTATGCCATTCGGAGCTACAATCCACTGCAATCAAAATAGAAAATAGAAAAGCCGCACAATTCTGCCGAGCATGCGGCACATGATGCAATATTTTCATAATTTCACTCCGCCCGGCCCAACATCACGTTTCCCATCTCGCTTTGCATGTTTTACATGCCAAATTATGCAAAAATACAATACTCCTGCCATACATATTCAAATACTTTCCGCAACACGCACAGTGCCCCCTACCCCAGCAGCCCTTCTCCATTGAACTGCAATCGATTTGGAATATTTGAATTTTTGAATCTGCCTGTCAAAGCCCAATAATGACATGTCACTCTGTGTTTCTATATCCCCCCCATCTCTGCGCCGATTTATTTCTGCTTTTATTGTGTGGAAGCTGGTTTTTGGTTTAGACTGGTCCAGGGGCCGGGGCCGGGGCAAGGTCAGCGATGTTGCACGCAGTTGATGCGGATTTCATGGGAATTAAGTTTGATTTGATAAAGGTCATGTTTGCCGTCTGTTTGTGGCTGCCCCTCAACCCCCTATTTATTCGTTATGATCTGATAACGGAATTTGCAATTATGACAAAACCTAAATGGTTTAAAGTGCAGTTCGAGTGGTGGAATCGGGGAAAGTGATGTCCGAAAATCGGTTGAATTGATTGGTAAGCTTTGGACTTCTGGTATAATGGAAGTTTAAAGAACTTTAAGAACTATCTATTCTCCAAATTAGCTTTTTCTTAATGCAATTACCAATTCAAAGTTGAATGACAATCCCTATTTGCTATCCACTCTGATCCCTGATTACTATTCCACAAATAACCAGCCTGACATATGCAGAATAGTTTCCGACACAAATATTACCACAGGATAACACCTGTCCCTCCGATTCAACCGACAATTCATTCAACTTTCGACAATTCGCTTGCGCCTTGGGTTCCTGGTCCTGGTCCTGGTCCTCGTACTGGTCCTTTGTATCCTACTCGTCCGCTTTGCTGGCCAAAAGACCATTAAAAATATTTTTTCTGCCCGTTCAGCATTCAATAGAAATTTACATCACGTCGGACATTTTTACATACGCACAGGCCCTGCCTTATATTGTTGTATCCTGTGCCAAAAGGACATTTCGGGCTGGGCAGGGGGTGTGGCAAATTGGAGGCTGGCGAGTGTCGCGTTGGGCATACTAACACTTTTTTGTGTGTTTGCTTAGCTTAGGTTTCCACCTGACAAAAAATCGAGAGGCGGCTGGGGCTCGGATTGTGTCAGCCTCAAAGTAACAATAATAAAAGCCAACCAGGGGGCCGCAGCACCCAGGCCAGGAAACTATATTGCCACATAGGCAATTTCATTGTGCGATATACACATATTTTCCGACAGATATTTTCGGGACCTTTGGCAAATTGGTTTACCAGTTCACCCTTTTCACGAGACTTTAGTTCGCAGTCCTCCCACTCTCGATAAAAAAAAAACAAATTGTAGTTTAAGAAGCTGCTGTACCGTTTACTTTTTGGGTTAAGGCTTTGCTTTTAGCTTACAAATGTAATACAAAAATTTGTTATCCTGTCAAGGCATTAGAACTAAACTTTCATCACCAATTACCAGGCATTTATTCCGGGACTGCCTTCCAGGTAAGTGGTAAGCGAGTCCTTGGTCCTTGGGGGTGTTGTACAATTTGCTAATTACCGCAATCAAAGTTTGCTCGGTGGGCGGTCGAGAGGAGCTTCAAAAGCACAAAACTGATAAATTATAAATTAAAGAGAATCTCAGGCAACTTCTCCAGCCCGCCATTTTTTGTTTACACAGAGGACGGTTGTTGGTATTAGCGGATGTTTTCTTTTTTTAGGGATTCGGTGCATAATTTACGAGTTGAACTCGCTGGTGCCGCCAATATTTCAATTACTCCTTGGCCTTTCGTCCTGCAACTGGTCCTGGCACTCGAGGAGTGCGCTCCCTGGTAGGCAGTTCTGTCTCAAGGCGAAATTAGTGGCCAGAACTGTGGCAGATTACAGGCCAGCCGGAGAAGCGAACTTCAAACAATTATTTGGTCAGCTGGGGCGGGGGTGGCCACCGGCCAACAGCTAACGGCTAGAAGGCTGGCTTTTAATTTTCTTAGCCCCGCTCCATGAATAATGCAATACGAAATACAAAAGCGAAGAAAGAAGATGGCCAAGATGAATTTTTGTATAATTGCAGGGCGTAGAAATTTCGCTTAGAATCTCTCTTCGGGCCAGATAATTGCCGGGCCAGAGTGGGGGAAGCCAACGAAACGATAAATGTAAATTAAACATTTCTTTTTGTTTTAACTTTTAGTGAGAGGTAAGTTTTACATTATTCTGTGGCAAAATATTCACGGAAAGCGGAGAAAACTACTTCGAAGGTACATCCCTTTGATGCACCAATTAAAACTTTCCCATCCACGATTTATTCAGCACTCGAGTCCAGTTCTTACTTTCAAAACACTGATACGCAATTACACAGTATTTCCATTAGGCTTCTGTTTAAATTCCCAGCTCGAAATCGCACATCAAGGATGTTCAGTCGAGTCCTGTGCGGAGGCCGTGCTGCATCGATTAATTATGGCTGTCAGCATGTAAATTGCGCTAAATTATTATTATCAATGTTGTTTGCCAGATGACAAACATTCAATATCGCGAATGTGTCAGGCTCGACTGACAACAAGGACACGGGACGCGGGACACAGGACATAGGCGTTGATGGGCGCTGCCTGCTGGAGCGGAGCTTCGAAGTTGCAATTGTGATATTGACAATAATGCAATCAAATAATCAATCAATTAATGTCTGCTTGAATTAATGTTGAATATTATGTGCTATCGTCAATGCCATCATTAGCACTAAATTCAATTATGTCGCAGGACTCGGGACAGGCATCCTGTTGCCGCCAAATGATGATTCATCATTGTTAGGCAGCCTTTATGGCTGATACTTTTTTTGTTTTGGGCCACAAAATCCCAGGAGCCTGGTCCCCCAACATCACTCTCTGCGTTCCGGAAAATGTATCAAAATTAAGGCTGAGCTTCAGGGCCGGGAAAAAAAACTGCATAACCATGAGAGGATCTCTGGGCCCGAGAGAAAAGCTGAAGCTCATCATTGGCGGGAAGGTTTGCGAGGTGTACCGCGATGAGTTTAGCTGCGGATCAATCCCCTTCTGGGGCGCTATAATCTGCTTCGCCGCCTTTGGCCTATTCCTGGCCTATTACCACATGAATCGAGAGCGCATTCATCACGACTGAGATCTGGATACTCCGGGGAGGATAGTAGAATGTAACAACCGGTCGCTGTCTTGGCTTTTTCCATTAAAGTCTGTCATTCCATCATGTGTGGTGTGTGTTTTATGTTTTTTAGTTGTGGGACCCTGGCTAGGCCCTTGATTTATCCATAATTCACAGGAAATTTATCGAAAAAATAGCGTTTTTTCACGGCGATAGTGCAAGTGAAACATAACTGATTTTCAATATTGTTTGCATACATTTTGATTTACGCCTGCCCCTGTACATATATCAATAACAACAACGGCAAATAGCCATAATAAAGAGACTGTCAGGCAGGCAAGCGTAAGCCGATGCGTGTTTATATATTTACTTAACTTTTATGTTCCTGCCTTTGCCGCTGTGCAAGTGTATTTGTTTTCCACACACACTTGCATACAAATGCAACGATTTTACATAATTTAATGCGCAATCCTGCAGAGAAACTTGAACTTATGAGTTGAAAATATATATATTAAAAATTCTGTATAAAAACTTCACTCATTGTACAGGCTAACAGGTTAAACCTTAAGATTTAAAAATCTGTTAATATCTTTTAAAAAGTTGTTACCATTTCTTTCAGTGCTTTTTGAGTTAAGAAACGGGTGAGCGCTGCATAAATATTTGCATATGTCACACGCACAAAAGCCCGTGTGGGCGGCGCCTGTGATTGACTGGGAGATTGAGTCCTGTCCAACAAAAGAGTCCTTTTCATCCGTGCTCTCGGCAGTTGCCCTCGCCAACGATGCGTAAAGTTTCAAAACCACGTCGGCAAACAATGTTGCATCGACTTAATGCCTTACACTTATTTGATTGATCAACAAATTACAGAATTTAAATGAATTTTATCCTTCGGGAGGGTTCTACCCATCATAAGAGAAACAAATTAATTAATAAATTGCCCGACAGCCTATTTTTTAAAGAAATATCTTCTCTTTAAAGCTTAAACTTTAAGCCTTCGATTTAAAGCTCTCTGTGCGTTGTCCTTGCAATATTTACCTGGCACTTTCAGAGCAGCTAGTATAAGTCATCGATTGGCCATATTTCTTGTTATTTTATAGATCCTTTCCATTCGCCCTGCGGGTTTCATCTTTCATACGCACTCAATGCTCTGGCAATTCTCTGAATGTCTTTATAGCTTGCATATGCAAGAGCCAAATGGCATTCTCGCTATTTTTCCTCCTCCAGTATCTGTAGAGTCCCCTACCTTATCTGTCTCTCCTTTATTGGTCCTCGGAAGCTTTTGTTAAAGCCTTTTGCGGCTGCCTCCTGCTGTTGCAACTTTGGCTGATGCCGTCGCTGTCAAGTTGCGGGGACTTGGAGAGACTTGAGTAGCCGCAGGATATGCCACACGCCCTTCGCCTGGTCCGCCTGCTGTTCTTGCTAATGAAACAAATACAGACAAGCTAATGTACAGTTGATGTACCATTTAATGGCTCTCATTGCCACGCCCCCACACCACGCCCCGGCTCCCACCTCTGGGGGGGGGGGCAGATTTGCATAAAAAGCTCTGAGAACTGACCGTGCTAATTGAGTGAGTAAGCGGTTGATGGGCTAAAACTTTTCGACATTCTAATGCCATTGTCAAGCGGCTTTTGCTTCAGCTTCTGTTTCTGCCTCGACCTCGGCTTCGGCTCAAACTAGTTAACATTTCCGTTTCCCAAAGTGCCACCCCAACCCACTTATAGTTCTAGGATCCACATTCACCTTGGCCGGGGCTCATGAATATGCCTTTTATAAATAATTCAAGCGCATTTAGTGATAGGTCGGCCTAAGCCCTAGTGCAGAGTCCCAGTTTCGTTTGCGGAGCAAAATTAACAGAGCGCATTGAGTGGCCATTTGAGGCGATTCCTCAGACAAAAGACCAGCAGCCGAAAGCAAATGTCACAGAGGCAGAAGGACCAGATTCACATTCGGATTCACAGGAGGAAGCACAAGAAATCGACGGAAGTCGAGACCCCGCCTTTTAAATGCAAAGTTATCGGGGGTCGTTTGAATAGTTTTACTGCTATATTATTTCTTAAAAATATGTAAAAAAGGAATTTAGGATAAAAATTAAAATTATATCACTTATACATACTAATTAGTAGTGGGTTTATATTAATTTTACCTATTATTAACTTTTAATGGCAACCCTTGATGTCGAGGTTTGAATTTTGGAACCTTTTCAAAATCAGCTTCATGCTTCTTGTAATTATTCAAGCATTATTCATCCCAGTGGCAGCTGCCATCTGGCCAGCAGGTCCTTTGTAGCCCAGCCCCTCGTCCTCAAACTTTTGTATTGACTTGCTCACAAAAGTGTTGCCTACTTTCCAGGGCATTTACAAATTACCAGCCCAAGGAGCATTAACAAGAAGAACAACAAGGCAAAGCCAAGCAGGGCGACAAATCCACTGACTAGCTAAACAAAATAACACAATTTACAGTTAATCTAAATTGTTTTGGCTTTTTATTAGCCACACCAGCCAGAATCAGCAGATGGAATAAGTTTTTTGTGGCTGCTGCAACTGAACTTGATAAAACTCGAGCAGAGACAGGCGGGGATGGTGGGTGGCAGTAGGGGTGCATGATATAGCAACACCAAAAGTGACTTTATTATAATTTTCAACTTTTGATTTACTGCAGGGCCACCCCTCCTCCTTCACACTGCCACAAGATGGCAGGCAGCACAAAAGCCAAACAAAATGGGGCTAATTTTTATACCCCCGGCACTCGGAACTCGGCACACACACAGCCACAACAATGGAGACGCAGATAGCAAGTCTTACACAATTGCAAAAGTTTTTTAACAGAAGAGCCAAGAACACGACAAGAGAAAAAAACAGCAGAGCTGGCGAAGATTTCACCAAATTACAACAATAAAAGCGAGCAATAAAATTAAGCATTGTAATACGCAACAAAAAAAGTCCTGGCAAGCGAGGCGAATTCAAGGAATTAAAGTTCAAGTAGACCGGTCCGAGAGGTTCTTAAATTCCTTAATTTGTGGTAACTAATTAAATCTTGAGAAGCACCTTTTAAGGACTGCCAGTTGCTTGCCAAAACGATTTAATTCGATTAGTGGGACAAATGTTTCAATCCCATTGCTGATTTAAATCGGTGGATAAGATGGATAGTCCTGAGGATGGCTGGTGGGTGGGGTCAACCCTTTCAATTGCTTGGGGAGCGGGGAGACATCCACACCACCTCCATGAATGCGGCACGTTCCATAATTGCAAATCAATGAGCTGCTGCCGTGGCATACAATGGCATCACTGATTATGACGATGGCATAACGATGATTACGCCAATTGTCCCTCTAAGCTGTAGCCACGCCCCCTCCCACATGTATATAGATGTGTGTAAGTAGTGTGTGTGTGTGTATAGCATTTTAATAAATTACGTGACAAACTGCAATACAGACGCCTCTCTGACCCACTCCATGGCCACGCTGCCTTTGACTTTTACAGAGAAAGAAATGGGTTGTTTTGGATACAATATATGGTTATCCTACAAAGTGTAGATCCTTTTCTCGCCGTGCATTTGTGGCAGCAGCAGGTGGCGCCTCCGAAACTGCTGCGTTCACGAATTTCCTTAATGTAGGCTCATTAGTTGGAGGGCATTAAGCGGCATTATGCCCGGCAATCGGGGTGTGAACAGGGGGCCTGCTCCGAACAGTATTGCATTAGTTTCTGCGGAATCTGTTGCAATTTGCATTTGGTGAGCATCTCAGGCATTTGCATACTGGCATCTTGTTGCCAGTCTCTCCTCAGATCGCAGTTTCCTGGCAAATTCGCAGAATGAAATGACAAACTTTGGCACACAGTTAACAATATTAAATCGGATTTCAAAAGACGCTATCGCCCTCCTGCCCGTCTGCCCCCCTATCAAGTGAAAATGTAATTACATTTTGCCTGTTTTGTGTGTTAACAAACCGTGTAATTGGCCCAAACTGTGAACCGGCACTCGCTGCATGTCCCTAGCCGCGCTTCCATTCGCATTTCCAGCAACAGTTGGCCGCATTCGAGAGCCGGATTCGGATTACGTGTCGAGTTCCGCGGGTTTAATGAGTTCCAGGAGAATTTTTGGAAACAACTAAGCGCTAAAATGACGCTTTTGTGCAAGTTGGAGGGCGCAACTTTCAGGCATTTTCTTTCAAAGTAATCTTATCTCTAGGAATGACACTTAACGATCCACAAGATCACAGGAAGATCTGATGCTATTGTTCAAATAATTTTGAGTTGCTTCTCGGTTGCATAACTGTTGTGAATTTTTGTTGTGAATATTCATCTCTGCTACCAGTCTCCCTCGAGATATCTGTGTACTTTTTCGGCTGCGGACGGCAGTTATCCCATTCCCTTTGTCGCATCTGCACCCGTTGCGAAACAAACTTAATGAAATTTCTGCGGCTACTCAGTGAACCAAGGCAAACAGCAGAAAGGATCCGGCTAGCAAGGAGCAGAACAATGCCCGTGGAGAGGAGTGAGCCCAGAATTTGTGGAACCAGTCCACCCGCTCGACCGACCACTGCGGCATGAAAAATTGTGTGTTGTGGTCAGTTGGAATCGAGTCAAATATTGACTTAACCTGAAAGCCAACTGGGCCAGTCGTGTATTGGAAGTTTTGATCTCATTATCAAAGAGTCAAAGGTCGGAGCTGCCGAAATTGGTTGCCCCTTTTTGGGTCACTGGGCCTACGGTCTTCCTGTTTGCCTTGCACTTGACACACTCTGAAGCCATGCGTGAATCTCTGCCAAAAAAAAAGCAAACTTTGAAGGCATAGACAAGCCATTAATTGATTTTCAACACACTTCAATGAGCAATCGAGGCCCAAAATGAGTGGTTGAGGGATGAGGCTGTGTGATTAGCACTTTGGATGACCTGTAATAGGGATTAGATTTTAGGTTCTGTATGTTAGTATGTGATTTTTATGTTTTCACTTTCACTTCTTTGCTAGCCACTCAACTGAAACTTTCTAGAGGGTATTTCTTAGATATTTCGAGCTGATTTTGTGGCATTCCGTTGAGTATTTCTGCGCTGCTTAGCAGACCACATCACTGCAAGAGACGCGACCCACAAGCCCTGACCCTCGCCCA